AACTTTTATAAAGAAAAAGAAAGAAAGAAGGCCATCGAGTCCCATGAAATGCCTTCTCAGCGCAGAGTGAGGTAGTGACTGCTAAAGCATTTGACACTTGGTATTTTATAGATGAAAGGGGAAATCACTCACCTGCAATTGCTTTTGTCATAGTCTTCTCCACTCTATTCTGCTAATACGTACATATTCAAGGACAAAATGTATGTCAACTCCACTACTCGGAAGTAGGAACAATATCAGAAGTGTCTGTAACTCTGTACAATCCTTGATCCAAATCCAACATTCTCCATCTCAAAAGTTTTTTAAAGGCTACACTTCTATACACACTACCCTAAAAAGTCCCAAAGCCCGTGGCATGTCTTTTGAATACTAAAAAGAAAGAAGTATAGAAGAAGAAGAAGTATAGAAGAAGAAGAAGCATAGTAGTAGTAGTAGTAGTAGAAGAAGAAGAAGAAGAAGAAGAAGAAGAAGAAGAAAGGGGATGGAATGCTTTATGTAGAAGAAAGAGAATCCATTATGTATTGATGCCAGTATTCTGAATATAGAAGTGCATTATAAATATAATATATAAAAATAAGATGTGGGGATTTTAATGTCTCTCTATTACCCTACAAAGAAGATATTGCTTTAAAAAAAATCAAAATCCATATCTCTCATTTTGGAAAATGTAAATTGAACATTGCAAGACTTAGGTGGCCAAGAGCTGAAAACTTCAGAATTCATTCACAAGAGAAGAATTACCACATTCTATAGATTTTAGTCAATCATGATGGTACTTACTCCACTGTGGAAATCCTCAGGAAAAATGCCTAATAGTCCACGTATAAACCAAATCATATCAAATGATAAAAACTGTGTAATTTATCCTACCAATTTTTTGAATGAAATTACTACATAGGATAAATAAATTTGGATCCATGTGTATTGTTAAGAAAAAACAAGTCATATCCAAAAATGTGTATATTTGTAAAATGCTACCAAAATCAAGATTATGCAATTAAAAGATGACAGAAAGAGTTATACAAAACTTGAAACAAGACATCAATAAAATAATATAAAATAATATAACCGAGAAAGGGAGAAGGCAACATACAATTGTTTAGAAGAGACATATAATGAGATAAAAATTCCAGATAGGATTAATTGACCTGCATAGATATTAACTTGAACTCTTCATATATTAAATACGACATCTTTTAAAAGGATATGTGTTGAGTGTGCCATGCCAAGAAAAGTATTCTTCAGCCATTCAGCCCTTTAAATTATGCAAACAATTGGGAGATTGCATCTCTGAAAAGCAGCATTTATATTTTGAGTCTTAATCCCAGGAGAAAGGCAACATATTCTATTTTATGGATTGTGTTTAAAGTGCAGGTAGGGCGGGGATCACAAGACAAACTCCAATATCAGATTTTTAGAGCCCAAACATACAGTATTTACCCAAATCTAATATGCACCTTAGTTTTCAAGACCCTGAAACCAAAAACAGATTTGCTGGTACATGTAATATGTAGCAGAAAGAGAATGGAAAGAAGGTAGAAGAAGGAAGGTGAGAGAGCCTTGAAAGAAAAGGCCAAGAGAGGGGGAACAAATAGAAAGAAGCTTTGAAAGAAAAGTCAGAGATTGGGAAAGGGGATAGAAAGAAGGTGCAAGAAGAGAGAGAAGAAAGAATTCTTGAAAGAATAGGCAGAGAGAGGGAAAGAGAATAGAAAGAAGGTGCAAGAAGAGAGAGAAGAGAGAAGTCTTGAAAGAATAGGCAGAAAGTGGGAAAGAGAATAGAAAGAAGGTGCATGAAGGAAGGGGGAGAAAGAACAGGTAGAGAGAAGGAAGGGTAGAAGGGAGAGAGAAAGAAGGAAAGGAGCTCTGTGGAGGCAGAGCTAAGATCAGTTCCACTGAGGGAGGGGTCCCGGCAAGCCAGAGCAACGGAGGCTGTTTTCTCCTCCTCCTCCTCCTCCTCTGCTTTGGGGCAAGCAGCAAGCGGGTGACAAGGTAGCCAGATCTGACCAGGTGATGACTTTGGCAAGCCAAGGAGGAAGATTCTGGTTGTTGACCAAAGGCCCAGGCATCTTTGCTGGCTGCATGCCGCTTCTCCACTGCCATGGCCACCTTTGCCTATTCCTCCTTGGCTCCTGAGGCCTGTTGGAAGTCCTGCCCCCCCCCCACCCCTCACATGCAGAAATCCAACAGAAGGGGGGGGGGGGTCAGGGCAGGTAGAGCGATGTGGAATGTCGCAACACAATGCCACAACCCTCCCAGACAATACTCCACCCCTTCAGCTCCTTCCCCCCTCTCTTGGTGGCTGTACCGTTGAAGGAGTGACCTCCTTGGCTCTTGGGGTCTGTAGCAAGAGCAGCCAGTGGTCAGAAAAGGCACTGGGGCCTGCATGGCTCTGCATGCCCTGATGAAGAGGAGGAACTTGATTTTGGTGCAGTGGTGGCGCATGAAGTCTGAGTATTTGGCAAGAGGGAGGAGCATCCAGATTTAGAGGGATACTGGAGCGGGGGCATGATTCTATTGTGTCACTGAATGTAATGCACACTGCAATTTTGGCTAAGCAATTTAGCCAAAAGAGGTACACATTATAATCGAGTAAATATGGTATTTTTAATTGTTGTTGGATTAGTTGTTGGGTATCATTTTGTTTTGTTCTGTTTCCAGATAGCTAGATTCAATCACAGAAGCCACAGCCCTGAGTATTGAAGACTTGAGCATGGCTGTTGGTGATAGAAGGATTTGGAGGTCCCTCATTCATGGAGTCAATGTAGGTTGAAATTGACTTGATGGAAGTTAACAACAAATAGTTTTGTTTGCTAATCTATGTCCAATATTTTCTCAAAGAAGTATCAGGGCCTTCTTCACCACTTGCATTATCATGGAAACTCTGTAAACTATGTTAAACTGAGCCCAAAATCAGCAGTCTGTGTCATAGTGAAGCTGATTTGAAACCGAGGAGAATAAAAGCTGCGTTTCCCAAATAGGCCAGTATTTTTCCACTACACTTTGCTGGCTTTCATTTTTTTTCAGTTCCAGGATAGAACACAGTGTAGAGATTCTTTCTTCATACATAGTACATAGCAATCCTCAGTATTTTGAAGGGCCTGTAAGATTTAGATTATAGCCACTCAGGAGTTTCTACTAGGAACAGAACATTTTTTTTTACATTTCAAAACTTACTATGTTTGGAGAATAGCTATTAAGTAAATTTGTTACAGAAAACTATTTGAAAATGTCTGGTTATTTCACTCATTCCCTGAAGTTGGTAAAATTTATTCCTTCCATTTCTATAAATTATGGTCTATAAAATAACACTATTATTCTTTTATAAATACAAACATTCTGAAATGTCACTGTAGTAGTTGATGTTCAAAGTCCCCTCTGGAGAAAAGGGTAAAGAAAACAGGTAAAGTTCCAATGTAGTGCATTAATTTGACTGTTGAACTGGAACTCTTGGGGACCAGGATTTGAATTCCGCTGCCCCCAAATGAAAAATTAAATGCCAGTCTAAATAGAAAGGTCTTTGACCAGCAAAAAGAATGTGGATAAGCCAGTCAAGCTTTTCATGGAGAGGAGAGAATTCTACATCTGAGAAAATTTTCATCTCAAAATTTGCCTGTAATGATGATGGAATCACCCAAAGATATTAGAACTTGGAGCTCATCTACATGGACACGGAAACTACATGGACATGGAAACTCAGACTCATCTTGAACTGGGTTTTGGGTGTCCCAACAACATTTCTCCACTTCTAGTAAATATTACAAGTTAAACAGACTTACAACCTTATGAGATGGGGAAGAATCAGTGGCATGCTCCACTTTGCTCCACTTTTAAGCACAGAGCCCACTGGCTACCATTACACAATGCACTACTACTTCCGGCGGGGCTCCATGCTCAAAGGGGTAGCAAAGTGGAGCATGCCACCAAGGTGACAACACAGGAGGCTTCCCATGTTGACTTAGATCAATTGGGGGGGGGGAGAGAGCTGGACAATCGATGATTCCCACCATGGAATCACTGGTGTGGGGTGATGGGTTTCCCATGTACCCAATGGTAATCACTGGATTCACCACAATGCGTGCCGATTCCAGTGGCCAGTGTGAAGAGATCCTTGATCTGACTTTGCCCCCAACTTGTAAAAGTTGGGAGTACTTGAGAATTAGCTTAAAACTTCGGAGTACTCCATGGCTTCAGGGCAGTGTAGATAGGAGGATTGGGTCTGCTTAGGCACCATCCCATTCTCCTTGAGCTCATCCTTAGGGTTGGCTTGTTATAAGTCAGAAACAACTTGAAGACACATGGCAAGAATTTTCATAAATGTTTGGTATTCTCCACAGCATATAATGGCAAGTGGGAAGCTTATGGCTAGAAATACAGCAAGTGAGAGACCCCCTCCCTCTGATAGCTTCACTATGCCTCAAAAGCTTACTCTGAAGCAAGAGGAATTCCTTCAGAACAGATCTGTAGCATCAATGAGAGCTAGCACAGAGAGGGAAATAAATTTCTGATCGATTTATCCCTATGTCTTTATCATTCATTTCTTAAATGTCTTGAATGTAAAAGCAGGAGATATTTTACTTTCATTGATGACAGGCATGACCTCACTCTTTTATAGTAAATGTAAGATTACATTTCTGGAGTACTGTTAAATGATTTCACACTTACTGATTTTGCTTTATGGACATCTGATATTCACACATACCATTTAGCATTTTTCAATGCTCTGATAAAATGTCATGTAGTTGCTCTTCATTAAATTAAAAAATAGATCCATTTAGTTCATTGCTATAGATGCCATGACCTACAGGGAATCTACAGATTCTTAAACACATACCTTTTGCATCCCTACCACTTGACATCTTAATGAGAGGAAGTAGGATCTAAATATGGGACCTTCTGTATGTAAATATGTGCTTGATTTCATTCTCTTACATTGTCTAGCAGAATTAAGATGAAAATCCTCTTTATATGTTTTATAAAGTAAATAAGAAACACAAGCTTACCAAATTCCAGCCAGGATAGAGATAGTCAGTTCCAACAAATTCAAAGTAATGAGCAAAGCCTTCCTTTAGCCATACATCTTCCCACCATACTGGAGTCACAAGATCACCAAACCACTAAAAAAAAAAAAGTTCCATTACATTTTGTTTTTGTTTTTTAAAAGTCATATAATCAAATTATATATCTGTATGGAACCTGAATAAAAAATATCAACAATCATGGATTCAAAATACCATTTTAACCAATTTCTTCTCTTTCACACAACTTCCTGTTCTGTTCTATTGGAACCGCTTTATGTTCCCTGTGTGCTCCCAGTCATATTTTAAAACTTGTCTCAAAATAGTTACCAAGGAGGAGATAAAAAATGTGAAACACCTGAAAAACAACTACAGCAGGTAGAACACAGGATGAATAGGGGGAAAAAGTGCAAAATGACCAGACAAAATGAAAAGATACAACAGAGTTACTGAAACTAAGGGTGCTTCCACACAGGGATTAAACTTTCTTCAGCATGGGTTTAAGAAACCTGCTCCAAAGCAGGTTTAAGACCCCACAGGTGCCCAAAAGAAGCAGTCTTTCCCAGGAGTTGTCCCTATTCCAGCGTGGTAACTACCATACTGGAATGGGGCCACCTCAAACCCTTCCCCCCAAAGAAAAGAAAAACTTACTGGGCTGCCATGCCTCCTCTCTGGCAGCCCTCCCGGCACCTGGAAATGATGTGACAGAAGGCCGGGGGGAGGGGCAGGAATGATTTTCCTCCTCACCCGCTCCTGGTGTGTCATTTCTATGTGCCAGGAGGCTGCCAGAGAAGAGGCATGGCAATGCAGGGAAGTTTTTATTTCCTTTCAAGGATTTTTTGGTGGATTGGGAATGAGGTGGGCACCATCTCACATCTTTGGGTGAGATGGGTGTAGCTACTGGCCTCCAGGCGTATCCGGTAATCAGTCCCCACAGGCCCAATACCACATTAGACCTGGGCCTTTCAGGAAGGCCTGCATTTAATGGGATATCTAATTAATTCGGGATAAATCAGCCTTTTTCCTGCATTGTCCCAAATTAATTTGCTTTTTCCTGAGGCATCGTTTGGATGCCTCATGTCAAAGTCCAACAAGGCCCACATTTGAAAGGTCCTAAGTTTGGAAAGAGAAGGAATGTGGTAAAAGAAGAAGAAAAATCAACTACCAATAAGTCAGTTTTTGCTTTAGAAATAATGATTACAGGATCAGTTTAGCAGCTTTGGTTAAATTAAATTCTCCTTTGTTCAATACAGGTTGAATATCCAAAATGCTTGAAACCAGAAATGTTTTGGATATCAGATTTTTTTGGATATTGGAATAACTGTATTTGCATATCTTAACATCATAAATAATCTTGGGAGATGGGACCTAGGTCTAAACATGAAGTCCTTTTAGGTTTCATATGTATCTTACACATGTAGCCTGAAGATAATTTTATACACAGAACAAAGTTTGTGTGCAATGAAACATTAGAAAATAGGTGTTCCTATCTCAACCAGCCATGTGGAGGATTTTGGATTTTAATATAATAAAGTATTTGTAATTTTGAAATTTCAGATAAGGGATAGTCAACCTGTACCATTCTGAAAGATGGTAACTTGTTCTTGTTTTGCTTTTAATAAACCAATAATTCAAACTGACTGAGGAGAGTAGCTATATCATAACAATGTAAATTGATGAATACCTCTCTGGAAAAAAATAACTATTCCTTTATTGATTTGATTTAAGAATACACATTTTTAAAAATGTAAATATGCACATTATTTTTTATTGTTTGTTTTGTGTTGTTTGTTTTAAGAAATTTATTTTTACAGAAATCTTGCTCCTATCTTAACTAGTATTTGAAAAAGTAACAGCTAAAGACAGAAGAAGCATTCAAGAAACTAGAGAGTTTTATTCTTGCCAACATAGCCTGTTTTAGCATGCTAGCAATGAATGGTAAACTGCTGCTTAAACATTTAATTTGCCTTTTTTGAGATTTTTTGTTACCTGTCCTTAACAAACATATTCACTGACAAGTTGCCTAATCCTACTTTAAAGATGCAGACATATATTCAGCATTTGCAACGGCAGTGAATTCCACAGGTTAATTGTATGCCATTGTCATTGGTGAAACTGCCTACACTGGCAAGTTGTTGTTCAACAGCCTATGAAATACTCATGAGCACTTCTATTTCATGTAGTTTGAGCTTTAAGTTCAAAATGTCCCAATAGTTTTTATTTGATATTCAATTTTATCTCTTTCATACAGAGAAACAAACACAAAGCATATCAAAGGAACAAAAGATCAACTTCAAACAGACTTAGTTATACTTGATTTTATTGTGGTTTCTCTATGTATGACTAAGTTGAGATCCAACATTTTCATATAAATAGTCAAATATGAATTCCTCTGTCAAACAACTTTAGAGTGGTTCCATACAAATCTTTGATTCTATGAATGTATTATTGTTTTTTTTTTCACCCAAAGAGGTTGTGAACATGTTCTATTATGTTTATCTAAAACAGACACACAAACAAGTTCACTTACACTGTTAGTGACATGGGATATGGTCTAATGTCTGACACAGTACAAGAACCATATGTGTATGCATTTGTATAACGTTTGTGCTATAACCTTCCTTAGTCTAAGACTTCTCCAAATAACAATGGCCCTTTTCCATAGATGTCTAAACAAACTTGTTAAAATATGTAGTTAAGATATAGTATACTGATGGTTACATTAGAAATTACAGAAATATGTTCTCCAGGACTGTAAGGATGGAATGTCATGCAAATGTTTATTATCGGATTGCTGTTTTTTGTTATTGTTGTTTTATTATATGCAGTACAGCAAACCACAATGTCTCTGATTGATTAGCTGAAAGTCTTTCATTTTTTTCCAATTATTTTGATGTAAACCGTCACTGTACAAATCAATGTATATCAAGTAAGTGTTTATGTATGTGCACAAATGAATTGTAGAGGATTATACAACTTTTTTACATTGCACTTTCATTTCTGGAAGGTATAGATATGATGATGTTTTTTCCTATATTGGGAGTTTGTTTACACTTCCAGCCAGAAAAATATGAATATTAATTAAGTAATTACTACTTCAAATACTGCTCGATTGAAACAACCTAGGGATACCTTACCTATATTGTCCTCCAAACTGACAATTAAAAAGATAGAAAATGTGGCATTTTGACTGATTTAATCAAATGTTTGAGTGACAAATATTTGGACAGTTAAGAATTAGAAGGTGATCAAAACCAATGTCTTATAAGAAGATCAATTTTTGCTAGCATATTGGAAAACAGTATTTAATTTTTTTTTAGTAATAGGCAAGATGGCCATAGTCTGCTGGAGTCCAAAACATTTGAACAACCAAAGATTGAAATCTCCTATTCTAGAATTACAGTCTATAGACACTAATAGGAATGTGATGCTAACTTAAACTGTGATGCTAACTTAAACTGTGATGCTAACTTAATTTCCAATGTTAGTTTTGGGGTTGCATGAAAGTTTAACAGAAGACATCCAACATCTAGTTCCACTGGATTTCTTTATTCTCCCAGTGGAATTCCACCATTTGGATCCTGCTCTAGAAATAAAATAATTCAAAAGAATGGAAAACCTTTACCTAATTGGGCACTATATATATATTTTTTTTGTCGTGTCAGGAGCAACCGCTCCTGTTGTGAGTGAATTGGCCGTCTGCAAGGACGTTGCCCAGGGGACGCCCGGATGATTTCTGATTTTTTTGTCATCCTTGTGGGAGGCTTCTCTCTTGTCCCCGCATGAGGAGCTGGAGCCGATAGAGGGAGCTCATCCGCCTCTCCCGGGATTCGAACCTGCGACCTGTCGGTCTTCAGTCCTGCCAGTACAGGGCTTTAAACCACTGCGCCACCGGGGGCTCCTATACATTCTAAAGGTACATGATCCATGTCTATGGCTAATAACTAACTAGCTGGGATGGACTAGGAAGGATTGTTGGAAGACAATAGAAGAAACCAATGAGATGCTAATTTTCTACAGTTTACAGGTAATCAGAGATGCAGGAAGAACTGTTTTTCATGACACAAAAAGATTTCTTCTTAGTTGTCTTCACCAATTAACGAAAGAGAGCTGTTCAGCAGTGGAACTCTCTACCCTGAAGTGTGGTGGATGCTCCTTCTATGTAGGCTTTTAAACGGAGGCTTTGAATGTGATTGTCCTGCTTCTTGGCAGGGGTTGGACTGGATGACTTCCAACTCTATGATTCTGTGACTCTACGAAATATATGTTGGCAATAATTAAAATATGGCATTCCAAGTATCTAATGACTATAATGAGAAGCATCAAATACTTCCTCTACAATTTAGTGTAATAAAAAGGACAATCTTATCATGGCTTCTACAGAATGTGGCTCCATTTCAGAGTGGATCTTCCTTTGATTTCTGGAATGGTTTATGAAAGTTTTTTTTTACGTGTCAGGAATGACTTGAGAAACTGCAAGTCGCTTCTGGTGTGAGAGAATTGGCCATCTGCAAGAATGTTGCCCAGGGGAGCCTGGATATTTTACCACACTGTGAGAGGTTTCTCTCATGTCCCCACATGGGAAGCTGGAGCTGACAGATGGGAGCTCACCCCGCTCCCCAGATTTGAACTGCCAACCTTTCGGTGAGCAGTCCTACCAGCACAAAGGTTAAACCCATTGAACCACCAGGAGCTCCTTTGTGGAAGTAATATTGATACATTACAAGGTCACTGGGAATGAACTATCTATATATATAAATCTGTTAGGTTGGTTCAACCGGACAGCAAAACTCCACAACCCCCCAACGAAACTGTACCAAAATTGCCATGCCCATAACACAACCCACAAGGTACAAACATATCTACTCAAAATGAAAAACAACACAACAACACACTCACAAAACGCAAAACAACAAAACTCAAAAAACCCAACGAAACTTAACCAAAATTGCCATGCCCATAACACAACCCACAAGGTACAAACATATCTACTCAAAATGAAAAACAACACAACAACACACTCACAAAACGGCAAAACAACAAAACTCAAAAAAACCAATGAAACTTAACCAAAATTCCCATGCCCATAACACAACCCACAAGGTACAAACATATCTACTCAAAATGAAAAACAACACAACAACACACTCACAAAACGGCAAAACAACAAAACTAAAAAAAACCCAACGAAACTTAACCAAAATTGCCATGCCCATAACACAACCCACAAGGTACAAACATATCTACTCAAAATGAAAAACAACACAACAACACACTCACAAAACGGCAAAACAACAAAACTCACAAACCCCCAACGAAACTTAACCAAAATTCCCATGCCCATAACACAACCCATAAGGTACAAACATATCTACTCAAAATGAAAAACAACACAACAACACACTCACAAAACGGCAAAACAACTGAGCATGCGCATTGGTGCCCAGCCGCAAGTTCCCTGGCGCGCGCACACAGTTCCCTCTGCGGAAGCCATGCCCACTCCAAGCCCCGCCGCGCCGCTTCCCGCACACACACCCCCTGCCGCACGCACACACACAACCCCACGCTCCATCACTCCCCCCGCCGCACACACACACGCAACCCCACGCTCCATCACTCCCCCCGCCGCCGCACACACACACGCAACCCCACGCTCCCACTCCAAGCCCCGCCGCGCCGCTTCCCGCACACACACACACCCTGCCGCACACACACATGCAACCCCACGCTCCATCACTCCCCCCGCTGCCGCACACACACACACAACCTCACGCTCCATCACTCGCCTGCCCCAATCTTATCTCCTTTTACTTCACGCCACCTCCAAACCCCACCCACCCCTTCCCGCCCTGTCAAATCCAGGAAAGACAGGAAGGAAGGAAAGAAGGAAAAAGAGAAAGGGAGGTAAAGAAAAAGGGGGAAGGAAGGAAAGTTAGAGAAAGAAGGAAGAAGAAAAGGAAAGAAAAGGAAAGATGGAAGGAAATAAAAGAGAGACAGCAGAAGAGAAAGAAAAAGGGGGAAGGAAGGAAAGAGGTAGAGAAGGAAAAAATGAGAGACAGAGGGAGGGAAAGAAAAAGGGGGAAGGAAGGAAGGAGAGAAGGAAAGAAAAAGGGAATGAAGGAAGGAAAGAGGGAGGAAGGGGGAAGGTAGGAAAGAGGTAGGGAAAAGAAGAAATGAGAGACAGAGGGAGGGAAAGAAAAAAAGGGGAAGGAAGGAAGGAGAGAAGGAAAAAAAAAAGGGAATGAAGGAAGGAAAGAGGGAGTGAAGGAAGGGGAAGATGTAGAGAAAGAGGGAGGGAAGGAAAGAAGGAAAGAGAGAAGGAAGAAAAGAGACCAGAAGAGAAAGAAAAGGGGAGAGGAAGGAAAGAGATAGAGAAGGAAGAGGAGAAGGAAAGATGGGAGGGAAGGAGGGAAGGAGGGAAAGAAGGAGAGAAAGAGGGAAGGTTGGCCACAGCAACGCGTGGCGGGTAAAGGTTGTTATTTCTATAATTATTATGATGCTATTATTCCTATGAGACCCTTTTAGGGGGAATGGGAGAGGTGTCAGGTCCCAGAGGCAATGCATTGCATTATTGTTATTGTTATGATGGTGGTGAAATAAAAGGAAATAAAAAGAGAAAGAAGGAAGCAAACAGGGAGGGAAGAAAGGCAAAGGAAGGAAGGGGGAGGGAATGAAGGAAAGAGAGAAGGATGAAACCAAGTATTTATTTATTTATTTATTTATTTGATTCATTTATTAACCGCCATTCTCAGCCCTTACGGGCGACTCATGGCGGTGTACAGAAGCAGTTACAAAAGTCAGTATCTACAAACACATAGCTATACAGACGAGGAGCGGGGGGAGGGAGGAGAGGGGACCAGCATGCAGGGAAAGAAAGGCGCGCCACCTCCAAACCCCACCCTACCCCTTCCCGCCCTGTCAAAATCCAGGAAAGACAGGAAGGAAGGAAAGAAGGAAGAAAGAGAAAGGGAGGTAAAGAAAAGGGGGAAGGAAGGAAAGTTAGAGAAAGAAGGAAGAAGAAAAGGAAAGAAAAGGAAAGATGGAAGGAAAGAAAAGAGAGACAGCAGAAGAGAAAGAAAAAGGGGGAAGGAAGGAAAGAGGTAGAGAAGGAAGAAATGAGAGACAGAGGGAGGGAAAGAAAAAGGGGGAAGGAAGGAAGGAGAGAAGGAAAGAAAAAAGGGAATGAAGGAAGGAAAGAGGGAGTGAAGGAAGGGGGAAGATGTAGAGAAAGAGGGAGGGAAGGAAAGAAGGAAAGAGAGAAGGAAGAAAAGAGACCAGAAGAGAAAGAAAAAGGGGGAAGGAAGGAAGGAGAGAAGGAAAGAAAAAAGGGAATGAAGGAAGGAAAGAGGGAGTGAAGGAAGGGGGAAGATGTAGAGAAAGAGGGAGGGAAGGAAAGAAGGAAAGAGAGAAGGAAGAAAAGAGACCAGAAGAGAAAGAAAAAGGGGGAAGGAAGGAAAGAGATAGAGAAGGAAGAGAAGAAGGAAAGATGGGAGGGAAGGAGGGAAGGAGGGAAAGAAGGAGAGAAAGAGGGAAGGTTGGCCACAGCAACGCGTGGCGGGTAAAGGTTGTTATTTCTATAATTATTATGATGCTATTATTCCTATGAGACCCTTTTAGGGGGAATGGGAGAGGTGTCAGGTCCCAGAGGCAATGCATTGCATTATTGTTATTGTTATGATGGTGGTAGAAATAAAAGGAAATAAAAAGAGAAAGAAGGAAGCAAACAGGGAGGGAAGAAAGGCAAAGGAAGGAAGGGGGAGGGAATGAAGGAAAGAGAGAAGGATGAAACCAAGTAGTGAAAGAAGGAAAGAAAGAAAGAGGTAGAGAAGGAAGAAAGGAGAGAAAGGGGGAGGAAAAGGGGGAAGGAATAGGTAGGGACCTCTCTTTCATAATAGTCCAGATATCTACCTCAACTTTGATAAGTTTTACTATAGGCCACAGCAACGCGTGGCAGGGCACAGCTAGTATTTCTATAAGTTTTGTGTACAGAAACTCTCTATACTACCACTAAAAACCCATTGTGCAGCTATTCTATCTTTCTCTTCAAAACAGAGTATTGCAGAAAGAAAAATAACAGAATAACTAGTGGAAAAAGGTAAGAGTAGTATAATTAAAATGTCAAGGACCAAATCCAAAAGAAAGTTACAACTACAGGAGATCCACTGAACCAATTAGATTTATGTTAACGTTGATATAATATATAGCAACTGGTTGAATGATCTACTCTACCTGAGACTAAACACTGGATTTTAGGAAGTGTTTAAATTGAAAAAAGAAATCATGTGTCACCTTAAAACTGTATTAATTACAGCATGAGCTTCAATGGATGATAGTCAAGTTCAGTGTTGAATTTAATGCACCTTAAATTGTGGGTATTGGGTATGCTTAGCCTGAAGAAAGAAATGTTGATAGGTGGTGTGATAGTGAGCATTCAATATCAGAAACTCCTTCATGTGGAAGATGAAATGAGTTTGTTTCGAATCCATCAGTTCAGGCACCAGACCTGAACTGATGAATTCAAATTACATGAAAGGAGATTCCAAATAAACATTAAGAATTTATTGGTGGTAAGAGCTGTTCAAAAGTGGAACAGATTACCTTGAAAAGCTTATTGGAAGTTTTTGAAACAGAGGTTGGGCAGCTACCTGTCAAGTATGCCTTAATTGTAGATCCCTGAATTGGTAGGTACTTGGTCTATAGACCCTTGGGATCCCTTCCAACTATGGTTCTATGTTTACATCAAAGGAAGATGACAGAAAGGAATGAAAAATAGATATAATGGTTTTCACTACAACATTACCAGTATATTTAAGACCTTCAGTACACACAGAGGCAAGACATTCATCATTTATGAACAGAGGGCCATGGCAGAAACATAAAGAAAAAATGCTTCCAAAGTTTATGCACTGAGAGAAGAGGGACTACCAAATTGATCTCAGCCAATGCAAATTTTGACAAGAACATGAAACTCAGCTTGAGATTGTGACAATGTTGTAGCAAATCATTGCAAGAGGCTATCACTACACTCAACTATATAAAGCAACAATCCACTGAAATCTATCCAAAGAAAAAGAAGCTTTATTATATTGAGTTGATACTTGCTTCACAAAGATGAAACAACTGAAGCAATAATCATGCTTCGAATTAGCATTATAAAGTTTTTCACACTCAAATAATTTCTTGCTGTTCACCACAGCAGTTTCCCCAATTAACATGCCCAGCATTGAAGCCTTTATGCAACAGGAATGAGCTACCCTGTAATTATTGGCCTGACAGAATATTCTGCATGGAAAATGTTTAACTTTTTTATATTGCATGCTCACAAACAACAGGACTATCTCCTACCTGGTGACACAGCTCATGTACAATGACCATGGTGACATCAAGTAAGTATGATATAGATGAAATGCTTGGATCCAGGAGTATCCTCTGCTCCACAAAAACACTCAGTCCCCAGTTCTCCATAGCAGCATATGGATGCTTGGGCACAGCTAACAGATCTAAAAACAGAATAAAACAGACTTTAAACATACTAGTGGGGTTCTGCTCTAAAAGCACCATGATGTAAAATTCATGCAGTACTATTAGGATTAATTCGCTCTCTGCTCAAATAATGCAAAAATGAAGACATTAAAGTATACTTCTTAGCAGTAGCATATCACAAATCATTTCATTCCATACTTCTTGCTTTATCTCAGAATGCTGTGATATTGTTTCAAGTGGCTTTGAGTCTCCTTGTGCAAAGAAAAATAAATATAACAACTACTACAATGATAATAACATAGCACTCACTGAAGAAGAATCATGAAAGTGTATCACACTAAATTCCAATGCTAGTCAGATTCAAATAGTTTCTAAATTTACCAAAACCTGGTATTCACACAAATACATATAGTAATTCACTTATTTGCTCACAGTTCACTATGGAAAGAAAGGTAATATGTTACCTAAACCATATTCAGGACCCCAGTACACGTGAAACTCAACCTTTCAAAGTCACTACAGATTCATTGGCTGTCTTTATAAAACTTGGTTGTTTATTCATTCCGTTGCATCCAACTCTTAATGGCCTCATAGTCCAGCCCATTCCAGAGCTCCCTTTCAACCGTCACCTTCAGAGCTCCTTCAGAGTCAAGACACTTCAAGGATACCATCCATCCATCTTGCCCTTGGTCGGCCCCTCTTCCTTTTTCCCTCCATTTTCCCCACCATCATTATCTTCTCTAAGCTTTCCTGTCTCCTCATGATGTGGCCAAAGTACTTCATCTTTGCCTATACTATCTTTCCCTCCAATGAGCAGTTGGGCTTTATTTCCTGAAGTATGGACTGGTTGGATCTTCTTGCGGTCCAAGGCACTCTCAAAATTTTCCTCCAACACCACAGTTCAAAAGCACCTATCTTCTTTCTCTCAGCCTTCCTTATGGTCCAGCTCTCACATCCATAGGTTACTACAGGGAATACCATTGCTTTAATTATGCGGATTTTCATTGCCAGTTATAAACTACCAAGTGAAATTATCAATTTCCAATATGCTTTCACAGCTTATATTTACAGAATTTGAAAGTTGTTGTATGTATGTATTTAGATGGTAAACAGAAACCCCTCTGAACAAATCTTAGCAAGGAAACCCCGTGATAGGTTCTGCCTTAAAAGTCATAATTTGGAAATGGCTTGAAGGCACACAACAATGAAGGAAACTTTTACACTACATTACACTATGTGACATTAATTTTAATATAGTTAAGTTTAAAAAATATATCTCAAATTTGTACATTAGAATAAACCATAGAATCATAGAGTTGGAAGAGACCACATGGACCATCTAGTCTTACCACCTGCTATTCTGAGGCAGAGAGTTCCACTGTTGAACATCTCTCATGGTCAGGAAATTCTTCCTAATGCTCAGATAGAATCTCCTTTCCTTGAACCCATTGATATAAGTCCTAGTTTCAAGAACAGCAGAAAACAAACCTGCTCCCTCTTCCTTATGACATCCTTTTACATATTTAAACATGGCTCTTCCCAACCTTCTCTTCTGCAAGCTAAACATACCCAGTTCTTTAAGATGATCTTCATAAGGCGTGTCAAGCAAACTCTTGTTGGGACTGCCTGCCATTGGAAATCTATGTACTAAATGTAAAAGCGCATGTGGATCCAGAGTTGGTATACACAGTCATTTACCACCTCCAAACTCTAGCGCTGGAAGACAATCATACTTGACCACTTATGCTATGTATAATAGATTTTCTGATGGGAGACATTGTATATAAACACGCAGAAACAAACACAAAGGTAATGGTGACTGAGATTGCACTTCCTCAGCGTCTCTTCTCGTTATATTTATTCATTGCTTTCTTATTCCTTTGTAAGTCATGGATGGATGGGAGAAAACAAATAAACAGTGTAACAGCTTAAAACTGTGAATTTTGAACTAGAGGCTTGAACTCTGTTGTCACTATATTAAAAGTTGCTGTAAACGTTAGAAACCATGGGACTGGTAAAGAAACATAAGTTTGGGTAATAATCTTGCTTACAACTTAACCTGAAACACTGAAATGGCTGCTGTTAAAAATAATCCAGCACATAAAGAAATCAGTGAAAAGGCACATAAAATAAGACCTTCATTAAAGTCATGTTCGAAAACTAACACAGTAAGAACCTCGTGTGCTTTCTTAAAGATGAAGTTTCATTAGCATAGAGTCTCCTGTTTCTACAGTTCACCAACGAAACACATTTTAAAGATAGACCTATAATAACAGTTCTCAAGCCCTTCTGAGTTACACAACTGCAGAGCATAGATAGCTACTGTATCAACTGTGTGGCAGGTTAACAACATTTGCTAGCTGTTGATTTGTGCATCCACGTCCAGGCAGGGTCATATGAGTGAGATAGTTAACTTCAAATAATCTGATTCTGAAATCTTTATGACTTTATCTTTAATCATTTTGCCTTGGGTACACAAATCAACACCTAGCAAATGTTGTTAACCTGCCATACAGTTGATACAATATAGGTGCTTATGTGCGACAAATGCCTAGCTCAGAAGAGTCCTGGCTGCTTCCTGATTTGATAGAATTACTGTCTGGGACTTTTAAAAGAGAACACATGGTTCGAATGTAGTCACAGTAGATTATTCCTGAAAATCAGTGTGGCAATATTGATCTGGGTTTTTTTTCCTCCCACTTTGTTGGTTAGCCATTACTATTCAAAAAATGTCTGAAATAAATTTTTAACTTATGAATCTCTTCTCCGTGTTTTTGTTTTGTGTTATGTGGAAGGATGTAGATATAAGTAGAAAAGCATTTACGAAATAATGTGGCATCTATATGTCCATTTAGTAAAATCATGGTCTTGTTAAGAAAGTGAATGAGCCCAGGCTTAAGCTATTGATTAAGCTGGGGGTAGTCAAAGCTTTAGTGAAATCTCTCAGGTGTACTTGCATAACAGCAATAACAAAGACACAAATACAGAGATTGGATTGTGCATTGGGACCCAAGTATTGTGGATACAACACAATATTCACTTATTTATTTTCCAAAAATACCTTTTCCTTTGGAAGTGTTTGTGGGGATCTCTAGGTCAGTGGTTCCCAACCTGTGGACCACGGCCCACTGGTGGGCTGCAAAACCTAAAATAAGGGCCACAAGACATGCGGGGGAAATTGGTGCGGGGGGGGGGTGCTGCCATTGGAGGAGAGAGGGAGGGAGAAAAGGAATAAAGGAGATGTCAATGTGTTGCCCTCTCCCTCGCCAGTACTTTCTCAGCCTTTAGAGACTTRCCAGGCCACAGCAAAGAAGAATCACCCAGCAGCAATTTTCTGCAATGCAATTCTCTGAATCAGCACCTCAAATAACCAAACCAAATCTAAAGTTGGCCAAAAACTGATTCATAACCCTATTGGTACTAATGATGGAGAGTGGTCCCTGGTCAAAATGATCCCTGATCAAGTGGTCCCTGGTCAAAGTGGTCCCTGGTCAAAAAAAGGTTGGGAACCACTGCTCTATGTCCTCCAATGCTATTCTACAGTAAGCTTCCAGCCTAAGTGTGGGTAATCTTTTTCAAGCTAAACACACAGTATGGATAGCTGGAACCATGGATAAAACCAACCCTATATTTCAACTATGCTTTGTCAACAAGTGTACTATAGAATTGCACTGAAGGACCTAGAGAGGCCCACAAACACCCAGGGTGGGATACTTTTTTTGGAGTGTGTGTAAATGAAACCATGGGTATCAAATTTGTAGATCAGGGGGTCATGTTGTATAGTTAAAATAAAGTGCAAGTCATACTGCATTTAGATCCAAATTAAATTATATATACACAATCTGTATTTAAGCTGTTTTAAAATGCTTAATGAAAGCATTTAGGTTATTTGGGCACCACAAAAATATATGATTAGCACTTTTACAACATTTAAGCTGCATATAATCATGATACAAAACTGAAAGTATCAGTGCAAAACTAGACATTACTGATCTCAGAATGATGTCTTTAATAACACATGAAGTCACATACAGGTTTATTTGGCCTCTACCTAATTCTAAAAGTGGTGGCTCATTTTCAATTTGCTTATTCAATTATATAAAGCCCTTGGGCACTGCTACCTTGAAATTATCAAGTGTACATAACTAAAAAGAAAAAGAAAGCTTGCAAGACATCCACCTGCTTCAGGTGTGTCCTAGATTTAAGGCTTCTCTGCATGTGTCCTCCTGACTATTGTTTACACAGATGTTGTTTATCCACCTTATTTATTTTTCCTTGGGTAAAGTGGAAAATGTTAATCCTAAATTTATGCCTGGGCTAGTTCTGACATCATTTTTAGATGCTGGTCAAAATTCAGTGTTGGTTTATTCATTTCTCTGTAACATACACCCACACAGAATTTCTTGCCTCCTTTTTTCTGGCAAAAATCTTCTGTATATGCATGTAATTCTAGGCCAATACTGATCATCATGTAGTAATTAATCCCTGTGCAAAATGTACTAAATGATCCATATTGCAAAGCCATATGTAGAACTAGATCAACTGTTCTACTAAGAAAACTATAAAATAAGAAGCCCTGCTGTTGTGCAATCAACTGTAGCCTGTCTTGCATGAATAAATGTGCTCATTCTTTTGCCTGGACTTGGACCTCTTAAATGCTGATTGTTCATCTTACAAAAGCTTCCCATGGGTCACAAAATAGCAGCAGAGCACATCTTAGAAGTAGCAAGTTATGGAGAGTGGGAGTGGATCAGCTCTGTGGTGGCTGCACAAAATAGGGCTCTTCCACACAGTCATATAACCCAGAATATCAAAGCAGATAATCCACAATATCTGTTTTGAACACACTGCCATATAATCCAGTTCAATGTGGCAGTCCAGATTGCCATATAATCCAGTTCAATGTGGCAGTCCAGACTGCTATATAATCTAGCTCAATGTGGATTATATACAGCTGTGTGGAAGGGCCAAGAGAGAGCTGATTGGGATTAATATAAGCCAAGGCAATTAAGTGCAG